CAGACTGGTTCGCTACGTGTTGAATGTCACTAATATAGATGTTAAAAAAGAGTGGGCTTAAGACGGACTTTGCGGAACTCCTGAGTGCACATCTAAAAATCACGAACTGAATCCATCTATGTTTACATACTGTTTTTTATTGGGAAGGTATATATTAACGCAGTGAATAATGCGCTAGGGTAATCCAATTGTTCTTATTTTTAATATTAACTTTAATGCACCACTTTGTCAAACGCCTTGGAAATGTCTAAAAGTATTAAATTAATCTGACCGCCTTTGTCAAGAACATTAGTAAATTCATAAACCGTTGTGAATAATTGAGTTACTTTGGAATGTCCATGCCTGAAACCATGCTGTGTGTCAGTTATTACATGGTTTCACGCTAAAAAATCATTTATGTATTTTGCTAATATATGCTCAAGCATCTTACACAAACACGAAGTCAGGGAGATAGGACAGTAGTTATCTATCTGTAATGGAGAACCTTTTTTAAAAACTGGAATCACTTTTGCAACACGCCAGTCATCAGGCAACGTGGCCATATCGATAGACTTTTGAAAAATTATTGCTAAAAAAGGAGCGACTTGTACATCATATCTTTTAAGGAATGTGTTTGGAATGTTATCCGGTCCTGTAGATTTCTTAATGTCTAAGCGCAGGAGAAGCTCAGTTACACCTTCAGTAGATATACTAACGGCGTTATTTTCGTTATCCTGGAATTCTTCGGAAAGTAACTGTGTCATCGAAGAGCATGGCTTTGTAAAAACGCTTTGAAAAAACATGTTGAATGACTTGGCTATTTCTTTTTTTTATCGAAAAGAACACTTCCATTTGCAGAAACTTTATTTATTTTGTGAGAATCTTTTTGGTACAAAAATGGCAAAAATTTTGCAGGATTTTCAGTCACAAAATGACCAAGCTTAACAGTAAATTAGCGCTCTCTCGATTCTTGTAGCTTCAGCTTTAGATCGAGAGCCAAGTCAGATATAACAGTCCTACCATATTTTGGCTTTCTATAACGTTTTATTTTACATTTTAATTGAACAATTTTTCTAGTTTTTCATGGTTTATCTCGACTAATGCTTTTCATTTTATCTGGGATAAGGGTGTCAATGCAGTGCTGACAGCGTTTAGTTCATAATGTGTTGTTTAGCGTTTAGTTCATAACGTTTAGTTCATAATTTAGTTCATAATGTGTTGATGTTGTCATCGCAGAAAGAAAAAAGGGTGTCTTCTAAATGGAGTATGATGTTTGAGTCATCAGCTGCATCATAGTTTTTAACTTTTATCGCTTTAGGACTATACGAAGGAGATTGAGAATTGCGTGGAAGAACACATGTGAAATAGACTAATTTGTGGTCAGAAATCCCGTAATGTACTTCAGTTGAGCACTCGCCAAGGCCAGGGGAGCACATAACTAGGTCTAAAGTGGAAGATTATATAGAGGTTACACGAGTAGAAAGCAGGACGGTTTGACATAGGTTGTATGCCAGTATCATGTCCAATAAGGTTTCACAACTAGTCGCATCAGTCGAGCCACACGTCAGCAAACGCCACTCAATACTAGGAATATTAACATCTCCTGCTATAATTAGCTTCTGATTCTGGTATCTGTCAAGGTGATCATACAGATCTAACAAGAAATTGGGATTAGCGCCACGTGGCCTGTATAGCCCCGCAACTACGAGCTGATTGCCTGATAAGCTAACTTTACGAAAAAATTTTCATGATCTGAGTTAATGGGAGGTAAAGGTACTGAAGGCAACGTGCTTTTTACAAGGATTGCTAACCCCTCCCCCTCCCCATGTAGCACGGTCTTCATGATAACACTTGTACAAAGGTGACAAAAAGACGTGATCTGGAATATGAGGGTGAAGCCAGGTTTTCAAGATAACAGTGACATGGGGATCATATTGCCGCGAACCATGCATTGGGTTTTTTTATTTGTGTCAGATGTCACGCAGCAAAGGACGACGCAGTTGTCTATGAGGAAAACAAGTTTATTGGAGCGAACCTGTGCTCCCCTAACAACTGAAAAAATACACAGGCGACGAAGCAGCGGCCAGCAAAACGACGGGCACGCTAGTGAGCGTCGGCGATCGAATGACGCGGCATCGGCTGTGCGGGAATTTATATCCCTCGGCGCGAGGGTTTCTCGAATAGTCGAATTGTATCGGGAACGCCGTGATAGCGTTTGTTAGAAACGCTGTTCGTTCGAACAGCGTTTCTAACAAACAATGCTTGAAGCGTTGTTTCCATGCATAGTTCGCGGCACTATCGAACAACGCCTGAAGCATTGTTCGATAGCGTTTGTTTGAAACGCTGTGGTAGCGTTTGTTCGAAACGCTGTGAAAACGGCGATAGCACAGGCCGGCGCAGCCAGGCCGAAAAAACAAAACACAAATAAACAAACCCAATGCATGGTTCGCGGCAATATGTGAGCAATGCATGCTCTAATTGATATTTTTTTATTACACAGGCTTTGCACATTAAGACAGAACAGACGAAACACTTTTTCAGCTTGTTCATTCTCGGCCTGCCAACGTCAGTCGTTGGATCTGCCCGTTTTATTTTTCAACCGCGTAAGTTTCCTCCTAGTATCCGCTTTTTGTAGAGAAATTCTGGTATCCGTCACCTCGTCGCACAAGCTGATTTCATTATCTATGAAAAGTTTACCATAGACACATCTAATCTTATCATCGGGAGGTCGGTCAGAACTCATAGGTTGCCACAGTTTTCTCCTTGTTTGCAGCGTTGACTATGAAAAGTCATGTGATACAGATACCCCAGTATCTTTCAGCTTGAAACAGTTCCTCAGAATGAAAGTCTTTTAGATGCGGAGCATCTTATACTGGCGCCTTGTAGTGCGCCGTCCGCGCCGTCCGCACCGCTTCTCGAACATTCGACAGCTGACACGCGCGCATGCGCCGTCGCGCCGTTACCCACTCTTCCACCATCTGTGCATCCCTTCCTCCTCTACACACCGCGCGCGCTTCACTCCTCCACCATCTGTGCACCCTTCCTCCTCTACACACCGCGTTCGACATCTACAATTCTCCTGATTCTCCAGTGGACGCGCATGTGGCGTCGCGCTTCGAGAACATTCAACAGCTGACAGTGCATGCGCCGTCGTGCTGTATATATACTCAAGGTCGGCGCTCGCTCGCTCAGTTGCCGCTCGTCGGTTGGTTTGTACGGCGCGTCGACGTCCAAGGTCGCGGTGAAATGAATTCCAACGAATCCACAAACACAATGATCGACGTCCCTTCGACCAGCGCCGCCCTTTCGCATACGTGTGTACGTGTTCACTCATTTAACACCCCCTCCTACAACCACGTTAACCAATTTAGCCATCGACCCAAGTAAGTCGCAATTTAACACCCCATTTCACAACCACGTTAACCAATTTAGCCATCGACCCAAGTAAGTCGCACTTTAACACCCCGTTAACCAATTATATGGTCCGCATCCTCCTCAGTGTTCCCCCGAGGGAAGCTGCGGGCAATTTATTATTGTAGTTGTAGAATTTGATAATAATGCCTAGGTTTACTGCCGCGGCTACTGCCAATTCTATGAATTCGTTCAACGGAGCTAACGATTAGGCCAATCTTATCCTTGAAAACTTTGCCTACCACCATTTTTTGTAACATTTCCCTAGTTTCATTCGAATCCTAAGGAATGTCAAAAACTACTAAATTATTTCTGTGTGATCCGTCTTCATAATCATAAAGCTTTCTTTAATGTGATAATATTGTCTTTTTTAGACACTTCACGGATTCCTCCAGAGCCCTTATTTGTTCCTCATTTGCTTTTGATAATTTTAAGACTTTGGCAAGCTTCGAAACCTTTGTGTTCACTTTAGAAACCATATCATCCCGCTTTTTCTCAGCCGACCTAATGTCCTTTAGTTTGGATAGGATAATTTTCAGAATATTTTGATCATTAGGGCCAGCGTTTGTCTTTATGTCACCACACAATATGAGGAGCAGAACAGACCAGCAATCACTCATAATACATAGGCATTGTCGAGGACACAGCAGCATCACTAGAGCATAGTATCCGGTACGGGTACAATGAAAACTGTGAAAACTGACCTGCACAGTCAACCAAGCAAAGCTAGCCGACATGCTTCCACGAATGCCACCGTGTCCTCTGAGCAGGCAAGGATCGTCAACTGTCTTTATAGCCAGGCATGGTGATGTCACACGCATAGGAATCCATGAAGGTGGGCCATCCACAAACGTGTAGTACAGAGCGGTAGATCCTGCTTCTATGGTGATATCCGATGCGATGATAGAGGTGAATTTCTATGGTGCGTTTTCACGAGTTGCCAGAAAGGCCAGGCCCTCGAGGCACAGGGCAAAACAGAAATAGCGGAGCCTGCACAGTCAACCAAGCAAAGTTAGCCGACATGCTTCCGCAAATGTCACCGTGTTCTCTGAGCAGGCAAGGATCGTCAACTGTCTTTATAACACGGGTTGGTGACATCACGCGCGTAGGAATTCATGAAGATGGGCTGTCCGCAAACGTGCAGTACGGAGCGGTAGATCCTGCTACGATGGTGCTATCCGGTGTGTAATCGAGGTGAATATCTATGGTGTGTTTTCGCGAGCTACCAGGAAACCCGGGCCCTCCACAGGACAAAGCAGAAATAGCAGAGCCTGCGCAGTCAACCAAGCAAAGTTAGCCGACCTCCTTCAGTGAATGCCACCATGTCTTATATACAAGGCCCTATAAAGAAAATGCTGTTGTCCTGTTTCAGCTGTAATTTCATTTAAAGAAATTTCCGTTTTAACACCGTTTTATTGGGTATGCGCGGGGGAAATGTTAAACAACTGTAATTTGCTAGAGCAGCCCTCAGGGGCATTTAAGCACGTCATATTAGAACTGGCAACTCGACAAGAAACAGCACCTTTATTAAAGTATCCTGTCATCCATAAAAGAAGATCCTCTATGTGAGCTGAAATTACTTGACCGTGGAGCATTGATGTTGTGCGCAGGGTGACCGGTGCCCTAGCCTCCGTTGTGTGCATGGCGAATGCCAAGACCGGCTGGTGCTAGACCCTGGTGACTTGGTGGTCCTCGCTGCAAGTGGCCACAGCTTGGTTTCAGCCCGACACAGTCGCCACACGGCATGCATCTGTAACCCTGGCTTTGGTGGTGAGCACAATGCTGTTAAACAACTCACTTTTGTTTTTTCAAAGTACTTACACTGGGCTAAGAGAAGCAGTTGACATTGACCCGCCTAGAGAGCAGCAAGGATTTGAAAAAGAGTTTCCTAGAAGAGGCATAGTCATGTCCTCATTCCGGTTATGGAAAAATTAGAGTGCAGCCGATCTCTTTATTTAGCATTCATAGGCTACGTAAAGGCATTCAACTTGGTTGAGATATCAACTGTCTTAGAGGTGTTACATCACCGAGAGGTACTGAAAACATGTTGGTAGCTTAGTTGTGAAAAAGCACGTGGGCCCATGGTTCTTTTCTCTTTTATGGCAGTGCGGCAGCCTAGTTGCGAGGACATGTCTGTCCTTTCGAGAAAGGAGACAATGAAGCCTCTTTCGAAGGGTTCGGCCTTCCTAGGCCAGCGCACACTATTCCCCTTTTCTGGCTCACGAAACGGGTTGCCCTCCCTCACCGCGGTAACCAACCCTCATTCGGGAAAGGGAAACTGGGTGGTGGGTCAAGACAAGCATGCGGACAGCATGACGGGCTCTCTTGCGCCATCCACCACACGGAGAACAGCCCCTGGATATCCCTGTGAGTCAGTACACAAAAGGCGTGAGTGTATGCCTTTTGTTATCGTCCTAGAGCAGACAGTTCCTCTCCGTGACATTTACGCATTATCGTTTACGTATCAATAAAGTGTGGTTTTGTTGATGTAGCCTGTTGCCTTATTCACCTGAACCCGTGTAGCTGCGATAACTCGTGCTATGGAAAGGCAACGTTAATCGTGCACGGTACAACTGCATGCGGCTGAAACATAATCTAGGCTCTCCGTCAGCTATACATAGGGCGGATTCCCTGCATAGTCAACATCTGTAAAGATTTGACGGCTACCTTACTTCTCCACAAAAAAGCAATAAAATTAGAGTGAAAGAAGGGAGCAGGTAAGGAGATACAATATCCCCATGTTGTACACTGTGTGCTTAAAGGAGACATTTAAACAGGTGGACTGACAAGAATCAGTAGTCAAGTTAAACAGAGAATATCGCAACAGCCTGCGATTTGCAGATCACATAGTTCAGCGATGATGGTGACAAAATGCACTAAATGATCAAGCCCCAAACCATCAAAGAGTTAAAGTGAATCTGAAAATATGTATGCTGAAGACAAATATAATGATGGACAGCTCAACAAAAGAGAAAGAATTCACCCCTGGCAGCCAGTCCTTGGGATCTGGCCAAAAGTATTGCCTCTTGTGCTTCTTCGTCTTTTGTGTAAACGGCCTATTGCACATGAGACCTCACACAACCCAATATCTGGGTACTTGAGAACCTGTCCTGAACATCTCACCTGCTGGTAGAAGAGGGACAAGAAGAGGAAGAAGAAACGAGAGAAAAGGTTAATATCAATTGAAGAAAAAGAAAGAAGACCATACATTGAAGCAGGCCGGGTGAAAAAAAAAGAACACAAGAAAGAAAAGGTTAAAGAAGGTGCAGGAGAGGTGATGTGGCCGGCAGAGCGAACAGGAAGAGAAAATGAGGCTTGGAATTGCAAGAAGCGTACACGTGCAGTGACAGCACGTGTACGCCTCTTTGACAGCAGTCTGTCAGCACAGCTTATAGCCAGGTGCCCCTCCCTTCTCAGCAACGCCCCGTAAGGTGCCAGGTGCGACAAGGAGAAGAGCTCGACCGAGCGACGTCATCCTGCGGCTTCACTCCGTAGAATATACATCACAAGGACAAACAGTACAGCCGCTGCGGGGACCTGACGCTGCAGTCACGTGATACTGCAGGGACCCAAAGGTGTAGCTGACGGCCGTGCACCTGTAGCACGACGGACTTCATAGACGTGACGAGGCTCGATCACTCGACTCTGGAGCCGCCACCACGTCAGGCTTTGCATTGTTACTGTAAATATGTCTTTCTAGGCTGTGTATATAGTGTGTAAGGAATCTTTATAGCTTAGCTTTCATGTATTTTGGTACTTGGGGTTTTTCTTAATTGTTTTTCTTTCTCATCAAATTTTTTCATACTCTTTTCTTCTTTGTGTCATGCTTAACGCATAAAGACCATTAAAAAATAGTCGTGAGCCTGTCAGCACAACACAGGAGCATGGACTTATAGATTGTTGGGAATCGCGACGGCGTTGGGGCTCAGCCGAGAGGAGTCACTTACGTTGTTTGAGTGTGCAGAAATGGAAGCTCCTGGGGCGTGTGAAGCCGAGGAGATATTTCTCTTAAAGGACCCGTAAACCACCTCCAATATTTTTTCAAGCATTTCAAGTAAACTCGCGCATCGTGCACATAACGCCGTCGGAATGATCGATTCTGCACATGGCAGCGCTTCGAGCTGCCGGTGCGCCACAAAATCCAAGAAACAATCCCTCCTTCTTTCAGGCCTCTGCAGGACGCGTCGTGCCACATCTCTGGTACGCCAAGGCAAATATGCCAAATATGCTGTCGAGCAAGAGCCTACGACTTCCAGTCAGTCTGCAAGCAGCTGTCTACGCTGCTCTGCTAAAAATTGGACACAATTTTTAGGTGCAATTTTAGGTATGAAATTAACATTCGTATCTCACATAAAAAACTTCAAAAACAAGTGCCCAAAAGCTACCAATACACTCAAGGTTTTGTCGCAGATATGATGGGGCAGTGGTAGAAAATGTCTGATGAATCTTTATAAAAGTCTTATACGAATGCTCCTAGGCTCCGGGGCACTAATCTACTAGTCAGCAACACCAAGCACTGTGAAAATACTTGACCCAGTTCATCATTTGGGCATCGGTCTTTCTAAGGGTGCTTCTTGCACTAGTCCCATTGAAAGCCTGTATGTAGAATTGAACAAGTAGTAGTTGCAGCTGCAGAGCACTTCCATGTCTTTTGTGTTCGCCTCAAAGCGAACACAGACAAGAAGCACCCGTCACACTCCACAAGCAATGACTTGTCCAGTTATGCATCGTTTTTAGGGGCGAAGCGGCACCTGTTCATCCCTCGTAGTCGTAGTAGTAGTGTGTAACCAGTCTTACATTTTGACCTCCAAGGTGGTGCCGGTGGGAAATTTCTTGTGTGCGTTGTTGAACAATAAAAAATTCGCAGCGTGCACGTTAACTAAAAACCGAATTCTCCTGTCTCTCATTCCCCCTTAGCAGCCATTGGCATGTACATTGAGCATTATCTGACAAGAAAGGGTTGCTACGTTATACTCGCTGTGCGTAACCTCCTCGGTTTTAGAAAGGTTTAGCGAGCGTTGGGCCGCAGTGCCATGAATACAGTGAACTAGTATATACCATGAACTCGAGGTGGTTAAAGTTGGGAAGCAGACACGAAGCGCAAGCCGTAAGAAAGTGTTCCTGTGCCACCTCTCGTTTAGTCCTTTGAATGTCCGCTGGATGGCGGTGCATATGCGCAATATATGATGAAAAGATGTGAGATGGTGGTACTGGGAGTGTTGAATAGATGGACGAACGGACACACAGACAGATGCGTGGATGGACTCATTGATGGCTGCACGGACGGATGGATGCATAGACGGACCCAGGAGGGGATGCATGGACGAACGCAGGAACGGACGCACAGATGGACGTGCGGATGCACGAAGAGACATACGCACAGACGGGCGGATGGACGCATGGGCGGCCACACAGACGTACGCATGAACGGACGGAAGCAAAAACGAATGGACGGACGGATGCTTCGCCCCACTCTTCATCATTCACTCCGTGGATATGCTGCCATTTCTTTAATAACCGGCTTTCACTTCGACTGCCCTACTCACTTCACATGAAAGGCCGCGCTGAAGAAACGAGACAGCCACTTCTTAATCAATGTCTGATGGCTTCTGCCCTGCATCTGCCACCGTGCAAATGTCAACTCATAGAATGTGATATATCATATGTAGAACTTGCGAAACACGCACCTGTGGCACATATCTGGACGTACTTAGAACTTACAAAACACGCACCTGTGGCACATATCTGCATGTACATCCTGAAGCTTCAACACAAATACGATTGTCCTTACTTCTTAACAGATGCCTCAAAGTCTCACACTTCTGTGTCATATGCAGCAGTCGGGCCATCTTTTTTGGATGCCGGTTTACTGCATCCTGATAAAAGCACCTTTACCGGAGAGCTTATGTGATACTTGCAGCCATTAAACACAATAAACAATTAAAACTACAAAAGGCAGTAATTTACACGGATTCATTAGACCTAGCCTGTTGCCTCATTCACCTGAACCCGTGTAGCTGCAATGACTCGAGCTATGGAAAGGGTACGTTAATCGTGCACAGTATGACTGTGTTTGGCTGGAACATTAGCTAGGCTTCTGCATCAGCCATGCATCGGGCGGACCCCTTTTTGTTGCCTCGTGTCTAAACTAACAGTCCACATGGCTCCAGTTTCGTTGTTTCTACCTGCTTATAAAAAAGACGATGATCATGATCAGAGTTCGGGAGCATAACCCCTTGAACCATAGTTGGCAATGTTGAGAGACACTTGTCATGAGCCTGCTTTTCTAGAAGTTGTCCGGTGGTCTTTAAGGGTGTCACATTGTCCTCCAAGACAACTGCTACTTGCTGCAATGTAATCTTTCCTTCAGGTTCTTGTGCAGCAATGGGAAACAGTCTCTCAAACAAGCTGTCATCAGAGTGGTTCACACTTTGAAAAGGGGCTCTACTCGGGGTATCTGCTGGTATATTTGCCATTACCTGCCTGTGCTTGATTCTGCAAATGAAACCGGGCAGCTGGAGGACCCAACGCTTGACCCTCGACGAAGCCTGGCCGGTGCTAAACATTCATGACAAGAATGAGTAGTCACAGCGTATCTCAAACTCTGTGAGCCAAAATATGCCCTGAATTTGTCCACTGCCCACACAACTGCAAGGGATTCCCAATACTGGACAGTATAGTGGGATTCGGCCTCTACTAAAACCCTGCTAATGAAGAAAACTGGCTGCAGTCTATCAGGGCCAGCCTGCAGTAGCACAGCAGCAGTGCCA